ATACCCCAGAACATTGATGAGTATAACAGTGAGGTTAGTCTCATGTTCAAAAGTTCTGTATTTATGAATGTATTCAAACAAGCAGCTTTCTTGACTAAGACAAGAATTAAACAATTCAATCCATGGATTTCTCTGTGAGTAGTGGACAGTTTAAACTGTCTTCATCTGTTAGCTGATGCAAGTCTCTCCCCCAGTACAAAGAAATTGCATGTCACTTTGCAGATTAAATGAGCAGATGCAAGCTGAAGCATCTGATTTTATATATGCAGACCACTTTTCCTTGAGTTTAGGCCAGATTTGCTCACTTGGGTTCCAAAGATACTTTGCACCACAACCTGCCCTTTGGATCCATATTCCCCTGACTGGTGAAGGCAAGTGGGGAAGTACTGGATCCATTTCTGATTGAGACTGTCAAGGTTTCCCTTCGGAAGTAGGTTGCTCACTTCTGTTAAGGGAACTATGGTATGGTCACTGCTAAAAGAAAACCAAACCAAACAAAAAACAAACAAAAAAGCCCCACCCGAACCCAGTTATCATCCAGTTTCTAACCTTCCATTTAAGATTATGAAAGTTGTGGTGAGACAACTTCCCAAGCTGTCTGGTTTCTTCAGCTCTCTGGTAACATGCTGATATTGTTTATCAGGTGTTTTTGATACCACTGAGTTGCATGTGAACCCTTGTAGAAAGAAAACAAAGGACTGCCCTTCAGTGGCTTTGTTTTCATCTCCTGGAGAGCTCCCAGGGGACAGTTTGAGGCAATTGCTCTTATACCTCTAGGGCTCTCAGAATAGCCATGCCTTAAAGTTATAGACTAAAAATGAGGTCAGTAATAAGGCACTGCAAATCAGAGCTCCCCCAGGACCAATTACCATTTCTAATTACCTTAGATGGGGCACATACAAATAGTATGCACAACATTCATAAGTGTTACATAATTTAACAGGTTTTTATTAACTTGAAGTACTACAATTCTGGATCTTTGTAAGCTATCTTTTCTTTTCCCCCAAAAACATATTAACTTCTCTACATACTGCTCCATCTACTATCTGCCTCTATCTTGTCTTATGAAAACATTATATTATAAGCTTTTATCCTGATACTTTTCAGGTGGCCATTAATTAATACTAAATCAGAGTGAAATTAATAAGGATATACAATGTCCGCATTGATAAGAAAAGGTCTCATCCAGATTAATCAATACTGAAAGAAGGAAGCACCTATTCATAAAGGGCCAGATTCTGCCAATCTTACCCATGTTGACTGGTACCTTTATACAACTGGACCCCAATCAGAGAGCAGAGATCTGCATGGTCCTTGGAAAGTAACATCTTAATTATGCCAAACAGGCCCCCTCAGCCTGTACGCAGGATTTGTATAACAAAAGAAGCTAGGTATGAGTTGGTTAATGTACTATTTCCTGGCACTCTAGCTGAGACAATGACATTGATATGCCTATTACATGTTCCCCTAAATCTATTTTAACATCCTCAATTTTTAAAAAAAAATGTATTTAATGTCAGTACAATACAACTAGAAAAGAGAAGTTGCTTATTTTGGTTTTGGACATCTTATGGAAATGTGAACTCTTTTTATTTTTCAAGGTGGTTCTAAATGTGTTAATACAGATGGAAATGAACCATCTGTTTTAGTCAGCACTTGTATGATAAGAACTGCTTCTCAAGTAGAGCAAATGACTGTGTTGGTGATTAAAAAGGATATCAGCAGTGAGACACAGCTTAATTATGTCATTGAAACTCTGAATGATTATTAAAAACACCATTTCAGGTGCCAGAAGGGTGAATTCAATATCAACCTACTTCCTGCTTCAGTCTTTCAACAGATTTAGACTGACAATGGCATTGAAATGAGTTTGTGGACTTCAATTATAATGTTTTATAGCTGTTCTCTGTGATGACAAGACAGAAGAAATGTTTTTCATCTTCAGTGGATGATTCAGGAGAAGACAATGTCAGACTGCAGCCCAGATGAGCTTTGGTTTATCCTACTTTTTAGTCCTAGAGTTGAAGGGCTGTTATCATTGAAAACATTTAACTTGACGCTCCCAGAATAGTCTGCCTATGTATTTCATATGTAAAAAGAAGAGGAAAATCTAAGATGTTTACAGCACATTTGCTACACAAATTTGTTTAAAACATTGGTCCAGGCTAACATGGTTTGGCCATCGACCAGAGACTAAATTTTAAAACACAAGTAAAGATTCTGGTTCCCCCTTCACAATAATTGGTCAAAATGTGTATAAACCAAGTTACATCTTAAGTACAACTGTTCTCAGCCCAGCATGTATGGGGCTAGAGGCGTCCTTTATTGCATCCCATCCATTTCTCTGTACTCTGAGTATGTACTTTGCACCCACAATAATTTACCGTGTTTAATGTACCGTAACTATGGAAGGGTTATGGCTACAATTTTTATTTCCATCAAAATTCAGTTGGTTCATGCATGGTGCTGATAATCCCTCTACACTTATCAACATTGCTGGGATTAGAGAATGCTTAGCCCTTCCCAAGGCCATGTCTACACTACCCGCCGGATTGGCGGGCAGTAATCGATCTATCGGAGATCAATTTATCACGTCTCGTCTAGATGCAATAAATCGATCCCCGAATCAATGCCCGTACCCCACCTCAGCAGGAGGAGTAAGCAGAGTTGATGGGGGAGCTGCAGCGGTCGACTTGCTGCTGTGAGGACGGCCAGGTAAGCCGAACCAAGATACTTCGACTTCAGCTACGCGAATAGCGTAGCTGAAGTTGCGTATCTTACATTGATCCCCTCCTAGTGTAGACCAGCCCCAAGAGATGCTCAGCCCCTGCAGTATGAGGCACCAAATCAGAGAGCGCCTAAGAGAGCCAACAGAATTCAGAACTCGTCTAGAATAGTGTCAGTATAAATTAGTCAGTCAATTAATGAAAGTTATGAAAGCTCACACAGCACTCATTAAAATATCACATTAATTCTTCACCATCTTTGTAATTACACAATAAAGAGAACTTTAAAAGTGCTTAAACTTTGTGTAATTGTGTCATAAAACTATAAAGCCAAGCTTCTCTCTTTAAGTAGGCAGATGTTTGGGGGTTTTGGCAGCAGGAGTGGGGACATCGTATGTTCTTCCCCTAATTTGACTGCTATTTTTTTCCTCTGCTATCTTTTCAGGACAAGACATCTGCTAACATTTTCCATGTTTTCTTTCAGTTACCAACTGACAGCTATACACATCCAAATAGCTCTCATAAAATTCATGTATTGGTCGGTGTGTGTGTACTGCATATCAACCGCCATCAAGAATATTATAATAGTGGCTGTTTCAAATTATAAAAGCTCATGATGTTTCATGATAGAAGCTTGTGAAATTAACACATAAGTATTAGATCTACTACAGAAAAATGGTCACATTCTAGCTCATGGCAGCTTATCAATGGCTGTACTTACAATTTCATAAATCATATCGGCTATTAATGGAAAAAAGGATAGTTTTCAAAAATTGAAAAATTAAATATAGAATAGAGCAAACAGATGGCTATGGATTAAACATGAAACTGCTATTCACCAAAATGATGGTTAGTATCACAAAGAAGACACTAAATAAGAATGTCTTCCAGTTTACACATTAGAACACAGCTCCAAGTGAAATATTTTATCTATACATCGATTTCACTTTTAATCTCTGCTTTGTGATATAGGATTTGCCATACTAAACCAGACCACTGATAAATCTAGTTTGGCATCTTACCTCTAGTAATGGCCAGTGCCAGATGCTTAGACCTAACAAGTCCTATACACTGTCTGAGAGCCTGTCAGAAGTGTATTTTGAGAGAGAGAGAGAGAGACAGACAGACAGAGTCCCCCCTGCTCTTCGTTCTTGTGTCTGGTGCCATAATGGCCTGCAGCAGCAATTGCAGGGAAACTCCCGCTCAGTCCTTGTAGTGCTGGTCTGAAGCATACTCACAGCATATGGTATCTTGGGAGCATTTAGGTGACGAACTATAACAAATCTCTACTATGAATGTAGAAACAGAATTTTCAAAGGCTTATAACTTGACCAAATATCGGGATTTTTTCACAGAAACAGCAAAAAAAAATTACCTATTCCAGCCTCAGAAGTTAAATGACCAAATAAGTTGCTCCGGAATACCTCTCATGGGAAGGGGCCAGAAACCTCATCAAATATGGTCCCGGACATGTGTAGGTAGAATGGAGAAAAGGTATATAAAGAAGGTGGTTACCGGACCCTTTTTGGGAATTTCAGGCTTGACAGGATGGTGTAAGCTGAAGTGGCACATTCCACTTAAGATATACCCCACTGGCTCCCAGTATTTTCCATGGTCTCTGAAAGTCTGAGAGTATGACACCCTTAGAGACTTTTATGCTTTATGTTTCTATCTTTGGGGGAACTTTATTCATTTTGCACTAATTTGGGTTTTAATGTCCTTATCTATGTGACTCACCAACCTCATCTATTAAAATAAATTTTTCGTAGCCACTGAAATTCATAGCCAGTTATTTGTGACAACTGGAAATTGCACCCCAAATTCATCCTGGTTACACAGTGAATAATTCTGCAATCAGTGGAAACTGCAAGTGGAAATTAGATTGCTTGAATATAATTATGTGATAAGAAATTTACCAGGATGCCGGGGTTGTCTGTTAAGTTCATGGTGGGGCCCTGGTTTAGTGAGGAAAAGCACCTTGTAGAATCACCTACCTATTTAATGAATCCCAACATAAAGATACTATCCGCAAGTAACATCTAGAAGGGATCCTTTTTGTGAATAAAAAATTAAGAGTCTATTTTAAAATAAATTCTTAGGTTTCTAATAGATAAAACTCTCCAAGGTTTGTGCCTAAGTCAGCCTACAACAGAAAAATAGTATTTCTAAAGTTACTGACTTTTCAAAACCTAACCACATCTGAGGGGGAAAAAGAGCATCAAAAGTTTGATGTGCATAAACTACTAATTCAGAAAGAATAAAAAACAGACTCACCCGATAGCAGCATAGGGTCCTTGTCAACAGATTTGCGGACTTGATCTGACTCTCCAGTTAAAGAACTTTCGTCAATTTTAAGGTCATTTCCTTGAATGAAAATCCCATCAGAGGGCAGGAGATCACCTATTAGTTAAGACCAAGGTAAAAGAAAACCAGAGAGGCTTAATAAGGTAGGTGGGGGGGGGGGGGGAGTGAGTGAGAGGTCCTATAACGTGATTAATCTTATAAAACATTACTACAACTCAACAACAATTAAAATAACCATTTAACTAAACCAATAGCTCTCAAACTTTCCAGACTATTGTACCCCTTTCAAGAGTCTGATTTGTCTTGCATACCCGCAAGTTTCACCTCACTTAAAAATGCAAAAGTATCACAGCACACTAGTACTGAAAAATTGCTGACTTTCTCATTGTTACCATATAATTAGAAAATAAATCAATTGGAATAAAAATGATGTACTTACATTTCAGTGTGTAGTATACAGAGCAGTATAAAGAAGTCATGGTCTGTATGAAATTTTAGTTTGTACTGACTTCGCTAATACTTTTTATGTAGTCTGTTGTAAAACTAGGCAAATATCTAGATGAGTAGTTGTATCCCCGGAAGACCTCTGTGTATCCCTGTTTGAGAACCGCTGAACTAAACAACTGATGGAAGACTACACATTATAACAGTTCATGTCAGCCTCCATATTCCTGGTCCTCCCAAACTCTATAGATAGGGAGTGTGTGGAGGGGAGGGCCTAGATTTTAAGCCAATGCTATGTCAACAAGAAGAGAACTCCTAACATGGCACATGTTGCACCTTCAAATCCCACCGAAGACAAGTTTAACTTTTTTTTTTAAACACTTTTTTAGAATGTGACGTTTCCCATCCCAGAGAGAAGTAGCAGGCAGCCTCCTCGGCTGCTAGAAGATCAAAGGGAGATGCTGAGCACTGACAGGGCTTATGGGATTTCTCACTATGTAGCACTGGTTGACAGGGCTGCCAAGTTTTGTGCCCTTCATGCGACACTCAAGCACCTGATAGACCTATCATGAATTCCCACAGCCTAACTAGATCCTCATTTTCTGGGTTGCAGACATGGTCCTGTAGCTGCTCTGCCTACATGCGGAGCCTCTTTTGCAGGCCACCAAGCAACCACTCACAGCCTCCCCCTCTCGCTACTCCCTCTGCAGCATCCAAGAGAGGAAGAAGCAGTTGGCAGGATCAGTGTTAGAGCTCATGAGAAAAGTTCAGACAAAACATCGTTTCACTGAAATCTGTGGATTGGGTGAAATCAGAACATTGCGCAGAGGGAGTCTGACCTCACCACAGTACACAGAACCCTCCGTGCCAAGCAGGTTTCCAGCCAGCTCTCCCCCAGGCTCCTTGGCGGAGCCCAGGCTTCCAGCGTCTACAGTTCCCGGGCAGCCCCCACGGCGGACTGCACCAGGGTTCCATTCTCCTTTGCAGAGAATCTCAAAATCAGGGGAGGAAGGAGGTTGTTTCTCATCAGAAAGAATCCAAATATAGAAATATTGAAATCCTCCATAGAACATAATTACCTTTTTCTGTGCAGCTCTAATCAGTAGCAGCATTAGCAACAGCAATTGTAGACATCAGAGGCAAACAGTAAAGGGCCTACTATTAGCCTCTGGCTCCCACACCTTGCCCTGAGAAATCTCCCCCATACACCCTCCCCACCTGCAGCACACACCCTAGCACTCTCCAGGCATCCCCCAGCATCCTCCTAACTATCCAGCACCCCTAGACACCCTCTCACAACTGAGAACCTACATGTTCTGCTGCTCCAAGTCCTGCTCCCACCACTGTGGTGTGTTGACCACAAGACATTATGAAAATTAACTGCAAACATGCAAAGTAGCTCATCAAATAACTTGCCTGGGATGGGAGTCTGACAGTTCCCTGTGCATGAGTAGAATGGCAAGATAGCAGCAAGAAGGATCTGCTTTTGTGGTCGGAATAATTAAACTAAACATTCTGAATATCAGAAGCTTAATTTTCAGAAGTGCTGAGCACTTCCAGCTCCCATTTAAGTTAATAGAATTTGCAGGTGCTCAGCATTTCTGAAAGTCAAGCCAATTTTAGTTAGATGTCTAACTTTAAGGCATTGAAGTTTGAAGATTGTGTCCACACTTCTTTTCAGACCTGCTCTCATACTTCTGTTTTCTCACAGGTTTCACTCTAACGAGCTTTCATTAGCACCACTAGAATTAGGCCACAAAATGACAAGCCCACATGTCAGGTCATGCTCTTTTTTTACCTTAACAGCATTCACCTTTACCACTGGCAATTTCAATAGTGAATCATTTTTGTCTTTTATATCATTTGTAGAGCAGTCAGTCCCAAAATTAACTTTCGCCCCATTGTATTGTTGATTGAAACATCAGTCTTTCCCAAAGTTACTGAAGACCAGATAAGTAGTTGTGAAAATATATCTGAGGAAACTTACCATATTTAACCTGTGCAATGTCACCAACTACTATCTCTGCCACTGGGATTTGAATAACTTGTGCACCTCGGACCACAGTAAATTTCTGTTCCTGCTCAATACGACTTTGAAGCCCACGAAATTGCTTCTCCTTGCTCCAGTCATTAAAGGCAGTGACGAGTACAACACAAACAACAGAGAGTAGAATAGCGGCACCTTCAATCCAGCCAGCTTCTGCCTCACCTTCATCTTCAGCTCCTCCTGATACAGTAGCACAACCTGGAAAAACAAAGGCAGAAATAGCCATAAAAAAGAGCTGTTTAGCCAAAGCAAAGTTTAGACTGATTTTATCAGATTACAAAACAAAGAATTAAAACACAGCCAAAGAATCGGTGGAAATATACTCTCTTTAAAATACTAGCTGAAGTACTGAAAGTAGATGTAGTAGAACAGCCAAGCTTTGAGAATACAGAAGCAGAAATTCAGGGGGAAACAATGAGGGAAAATAGGAGGAATGTTGATCAGAATCTTTAGCTGTTTTAATATTTCTTCATGAACTTGTACATTTTGGGTAAACAAGAATTAAATAGATGGGAGAAAAGTAGCATCAAAATCAAAAACAATATGTGGATCAAATATTCCCATAGATAGAGAGGATTTATTCAGAGTCTCAACAAGGAATACAACTGTGAGTAATAAGATGAACTGGGAGCAATGAAATGAAATTAAGGTAAATATCAGAAAAACAGTGAAATCCATATATACCGTATATACTTGATCATAACCCAGTTCATTTATAAGCCAATGCCCCCAAGATGGATAAGTAAAAATGGAAAATTTTTATAACCCGTTCATAAGATGACCCTATAATTCAGGGGTCAGCAAACTTTGGCTCCCGGGCCATCAGAATAAGCCGCTGGCGGGCCGAGATGGTTTGTTTACCTTGAGCATCCGCAGGCACGGAGGTAAACCTAAATAAACAAAGTGTCCCGGTGCACCAGCTGCTTACCCTGACGGGCCGGGACAGCAACAGGTGGGGAAATTTTGGGGGGGGGGAGAAGCTGGGGGTCAGGGGAGTAACCCCTGTGACCACCCCCCACATGACCCCACCCCTAGCCTGGGACCCCCACACGCTCCCCATCCAAACCTTTCCCACCTTATCTGGGGAGGGCCAGGGGAGGATGTCTCTGGCCTGGCTGGAGCTGCTCCGGCAGGCTGGGCAGCGCGGGGGCAGCCTGCTCTGGCAGGCCAGACTGGGCGGCGCGGCCGCAGCATGTTCCAACGAGCTGGGCCGGGCAGCATGGCTGCAGTGTGCTCCGGTGAGCTGGGCGGTGCGGCCACAGCCGGCTCTGGGGGGCGGGGCCGAGAGGCAGGGCTGCAGCCTGCCAGCCCCGGAGCTGCAGCTGCTTTGGAGGCTGGGGGGAGAGCAGCGTGGCCAGAAGCGGAGAGAATCTGGCCCCACCTCTTCCATTCTGGCTCTGCTGGCTGTGCTGCCTCTCCTTGCTCCCTCTGTTGGGGGGAGGGGCTGTGTCCCACCTCTCCCTCTCTATACCCGTTCATAAGCCGACCCCCTTCTCTGATGCTTCCCTTTTTACTAAAAAAATTCGGCTTATGAACGAGTATATACAGTAATTCGACCCTCTGCACTTTTTACCAAATCCCAGTTATGAAAACTGGAGACCGAGGAGATATTTACTATGATAAAATACTTCGTTTCACAAGGATTTGTTACAAATTAACTAATAGTAATTTGTTTAAAACATTAAAAGCATGGACACTACTGCATCTGTCATAACTATAAAGGGAAGGGTAACAGCTCTCTGTGTACAGAGAC